ATTTCAGATGTCTCCTCACCAAAGGAGCATCTACAGCCCTCACGTGCTCAAAAAGAAAAAAAAAAAAAAAAATTAAAAAAAAAAAGAGTGGAATGTCTGTACTTCAAATCAATCAAACTCACAAAACAGCAGGTCAGCTAAGGTAGTCAGGCTGACTGCCTTGCCCTGGGGAATAAGGGGCCTCACTAGCTCCACGTCACTGGCTCTTCTAAATTATTTTTTTTAATCTAACTGTTCAGTAAACAGTACTCACCCAAGGCACAGGGAACAAGCTAATTTTGCACCCTGGCCTAAGAGGGTGCAGGTCAGTATCCCACGTGCTGACAATTCCTCAAAACAGTGATCAGTAGACTGATGTGGGATCCCCTGTCTTCCCTACTTCAACTGCAACAGCTAAACACTCCTTAAGACAGAGGTGGAGAACACACATAACCTTCTTGCAGGTCCTCACCTAAGCAAAGAAAAATCCTGGATAGCTTCTCTGTTCTGCTGAATGATGATACAGTCTATGCTAAAAAGATATGAGATAAATTGACTATAATTGAAATGTTAAGGCCTCGCACACAGGTGAACATGCCCAGATGGGAAGAGGAATTAAATCCAGGTGTCTCACATCTTCAGCTAACACTAACTACTGAACTACAGAATTGGGGGTGGGGAAACCACTGCCTTTTCCTTCTGGCTCTCATTTGTCTCAAAGACAAATATTCTCACTCACAGCTCTGTACAGGACAAGCACTCATCTCCCACACTCTGGGTGAGTGCTACTGATCAGTCGGTAGCTAAGACATGAACAGGATGCTGTTCAGTCCCATTGCAGTGCATAGCGAAACATTTGAGCAGACAATCTGGTACTGAAAACAGAACTGCCAGCTGCTGCTTTTCTGAGTAGTGCCACCAGTTTCCCACAACAGAAGAGGGCCTGGAAAAAACCCACACAAACAAACACAAATACAAAAGTAGGAACAACATGAATTGGTAACTGTGTTATTTCCCTTCTCTAGAGCACCTTTAACCAGCTGCATCACAAATGAAGGTCAACTCAACTTAGAAAATTCACAGAATAGGTTTTTCTTATAAGATCTCCTGAACAACCTTCTCAGCTGTCCTATAATGTGTGTCAATGGGAAAGTAAACTCCTATTGCCTTCCTCCATCTATGTCCTAACAAACTTAATTCTAACATTGTCCACTAGGTTCCCATTCCCGTGTTTTGCCATCTGGATCTCATCTTTATAAATACAAGTTACATTCACCCATTTGGCTCACTTCATCTGTAGAGACTCCTTAAACGGCTTTAAAGATGATTTACTAAAAAAAAAAAAAAAGCTACAGATTTAACATGAGAAGAGATTAATTTAAGTAGAGAACTTATTACTTTAATGTAAAAATTATGTTACCAATGCCTTCTGGCTTCCTACATTGATCAGCTGATTTCTGCTTTATTCACATTTGTTCTCTGGCTCTGTATCTCTGTACTAGCACATTAATTACTACGAAGGCACCCAAGTTCACAGCATCTGAAATACAAATGTGTAATGTCAGAAAAATTAGAAAGAAAAAAAAAAAAGAGTTGAAACACTAGCACTTTGTTTCTGAAGCAGTATGAAACATGCTAGCTAAGCCCAAGAGAGTTAAAGTTTAATTTAAACAAGTTTTCCTTTGCTTACCAAATTATGTTTTTCACCAAAACATTACAAAGCTCCAACAAAGTAACATTAGTCTGAATGGATTTACTCAATCAGTTATTTTGGTTACAGTTTTAAATAGTATTAAAATTTTGTACTTAAATGCCAAACTCTTTTCTAAGTTTGTGACAAAAAAAAAAAAAAAGGACCTTGAACAGCATGCCAACAACTCCTGCCTCCTCTGAATCAGCACAGCACAGAGCCGCTGTCTTTCTAGTTCATGTTCCCACATCTTCAATAGCTCAACCGATAAGAGATCCATGCTTGTCACTGAAATTTTGCAATTTATTCCTCCAAATGGTGTACAAGACTGTACCTTCAAACATGTTTTTCTCCTTCAATTTGTAAGAGAAACAGGAGAAAACCCATGTACAAGAAAAAAAAAGAGCCCTGAGTTTGTTCCTTCTAAGAGTACATTGCATCTGTCTCCTTAACATCTTCGTATGACACGTAAACACCCTTAAAGATATCAAGAGGTTAGGGATGAATGAAAACAGTTGCATTATATTCCAGTCTCTTTATCTAAATTGAGATACAACTGATAAGGCTCTATATGCCCTGGAACCTGCTACTGTAACTCTGTCCCCCAACAACATGCAACCAGTTAGTCAATCGGGAACTCTTTGAACATTCTGCAGAGTATTTCGGATGCCACCCAGCAATCAGCAGGTAGATCCTGGAGCTGTAGTGCCATAAGCATTGTTGAGATGCCCTTTTGGCAAAGGAACCCCCGCCCTGTGCTCCAGCATCAATTTGAAAACTTTTTTTTTTTTTTTTTTTTTAAAGTGTAGTAAAAGTGGGCCAGGTCAAAAAACCCCAGTCCATCCAAAACCTATCTGGATTACTTCTGAAACACGCTATCAAGCAGCGGGGCTAATTTTGACTATTAAAGTTTTCATTTGACTAGAGATCTAACAGCAGGTCCACTGTCTTCACGGACTAATATTGCCTCTGGCTGCTTCTCAATACCAACCAGCAGTCCAGCTTTCTCTGGGCTAAACTTCCATCTGTTTGTCCAGCCTGAGCTAGGCACCACCCGAGACACAGAGCCACACCATCCTCAGCAAACGGGCCGGGAGAGTCCCGCTGTCCTCCCCGCAGCTACCTGCAGACTGAAGGAAAACCCTATTGAGAAGTTCTCCAAGATGCCCAAAAGTTCTCTAAGACCCTAAGTGACCTCAAAAATCTGAGATTTGGGACCCCTTCAGAGCACACACCTTAAAGATTTCCAATGTTATGTCACAGTGCATCTCCTGACTAGTTGGCATTTCACTCACAAGCCGAGGAAGACAGAAGAATACAGATGCAAACTGAGGACTTCACTCTTTTCTAAGAATGCCATGAAATGCAGCCCTTTGTAATTGCTTCTCAGCCTATATCAAGGGAACACAACCTGTATCCACTGTATTTGCAATTACTGAGACTGCAAAAACAATCAAAGAACTGGGTTTGGCTTGGTTATAATTTCTGTTCCCTCCATGATCTTATTTCAACTGTTCTGCACTATTCTCTGACCTTGTTAAAAGCCAGCTTGCCAGAAGCCTGCCACTGTCCCATCTGAATGCACTTGTCACCAAAATGAGTTACCACCTTGCGTTAGTGGCTCAAATAGCCTCCCGATAGGAACTGCAGGAAGAGCAGAAAATGGTGCAAAATTCAAAACGATCTATTATTATAAACACTACAACTTCACTTGTCAAGGATTGTAATTAGTTGGGCCAAGGCAATGTTAGCTCAGCTGCCTCTGAGCACACCTGTTTCAATTTAATTTGTAGTAATTAGGAAGCCTAAGGGCACCAGGAAAAAAAAAATGCTTTTTCAGTTACTGCTTCAAATAGCTGAGTTTTCATGTGCCATTTAAAATCCTGTTTTTCAGAACAGACTGCTGACTTGCTAATGCTAGCAAAATGAAATAAAGCAAAATATTTTTAGCAGCAGGAAGTTGTTACTTGCTACTGCCAATTACATGCCTTGTACTTGAACAGTGACATTTTTTTCCTTTTGCTTATTCTTCAAGATAGGTAAAAGCTGGCTTAGGTCTTAGTGCATGAAGATTCAAACAAACCTCTCAGTCCCCTGGAGTTGGCCGACACTTCTGGAGTCATAGCCAATACTGGCAACAATCTGCTGTGACAGAGCAAACAACAGTGTCCTAGATCCACTCTTCAGAAAACGGGGAAGGAGAAGACTGAGCAAGAGACTTGGATCTACTGACTTTGGCAAAAGGTTGAATACCTTGTCATGCTAATAAAATCACTGAATTTGGTAAGGGTAAATGGGGCAGAGGGGGGAAAGTAAAAAAAGAATTAAAATTACATAAGGATAGATATTTACACTCTGAGCTAATTTGTCAAACTGACACAGAGATGAATCATCCACCATTAAAATAATGGGATACAAGTTTTCTTTATATCACAATCATTATTTACAACTCAAATATTCATGGAGGAGTCAAGTATCCCCATCTTTTAATTTAAAATGGGATCTTGCAGGCCAAAATAAAACTGTTGGCAAAAATAAACTTCTACAGGAACAGTGCCCAAAGAATGATTTCTTCAAAAACAGGATAGATCTTAACAATCATGATGGCATGTTGTTCTTTTTTTAAACCTACACTATAAACCACACAGGGCTCCAAGCAACTCACATAAAGCTAGATCTCTGAGTAACTCAGCAAAGAGAATGGGTAATAGCAAGAGCCTGTGGTACAGCTAGACACAGCTGCTTATGACTTTTAAAAATATAACACAAACCTCAGTTATTTTTGGAGGTGACATACAACTCTGCTTTGATGCAGGTTCATTCCCACATGTTGAGAAGCCAATAAGGTTCCTCTCAGTGAACTAATTGAATATATGCATTTATCTCTACAGGTAAAAGTCTATTATTTTACTAACTGGCCACCTTCTACTGTAATGCCATTAGAAAGACACCCATACCACTGTATATTTTTCCATCTTAGAACACACACCAAAAAAGAAACAAACCAGTATCAGAGAAATTCAGAGCAATGCTTCTTGAATTACTGTTTTGATTATTTGGGAATGGTTTTAATATCACCAGTCATTACTTACCATAGACTTATGTGGATGTGTATCTAAAAACTAGACAAGAAAATAGAGAAAGAAACACATATGACAAAATGAGTGTTAACAGTCAGCACCATCATTTCACCACTTAAGTGAACTTTATAGAATAAAACAGTGTCTACCTGAAGCTGTGCTTTTATAACATATATGGGACACCCATATACATGCCACACATGATCTTAAAACCACAAAAATCAGAAAGTATAGGAAAGTTGCATCTTCTTTTATTCGTTTGTCTTTGCTGCTTCAACAGGTAATTTCTTTACAATCCAAGTTTTTAGTTTTTCGATTTCAGTTCTGCTTAACTCATGATGAAGGTTTGGAAAAGTATGAAGTGATGTTGATACTCCCAGTGACTTTAACATCTTGTTGGTCTCTTCACCCCACGAGTAAAGAACTAGTTCATCAGCAGTTCCATGACACTGAAATAATTCTGGAAGAACACTTTCATTTCTTTTCAAAGCCTAGATGGAGAAGAAACACTGTCAGACACAACAGTTACAATTATATGGTGACAATGTAGATAGCTTTTCATCCGCCTTTTAGTCATCATATTGTCCTGTCTCTACCAAAGAAAACAAGGAGATATCATCGGAAAAACCTGCACTTCAAATTCCAGTGTGCTCACTCTTGACAAATGATAGGGTTTACTCTTAAGGTCTATATCCCTCTCCACAGAGAAAGAGAAAAAAATCATGACAGCAGATGGAGCTCATGAGTATTATAATTCACCAGGATTTTTCAAAGACTAGTTAGTTACACCTACATGGACTCTCTAACAACTAAGGACAACTTGCAAAGCATTTCATTTGTTAATCTGCCTTCTACACTTGACTGACTTGGAATAAATTGCACTGTCTGTGCAAAAAAGCAACAAAGCATCATGTAAGGACAGCTGTAAAGCCTCACTTCCCTAATGCTCTGCTTATCTATTTCCAGGAAATGTCATAAATTTAGAATATTAATCAATTGCCTCAGATGGATAACCACACTATATTTGATTTTAATTATTGTGTTTTTCTTTTAGCTAAGCAGTTCTTCTGTAAAGCCCACCAGACACTCACCTGGTAAACAGCAGAGTCTTTATTGAGAAAACTAGACAAAGCAAAGACTCCTGCCAGATCTTGATGAAACCTATATGCTAAATGCATTGCCATTCCACCTCCCATCGAAAAGCCTCCTAGGATGCAACAAAAGAAACAAAGATTAGATTTTGCTATGTCTTTGTAACCCAGCATCCAATTTATTTTTATCTTCAGACCTATTTTATACACAATGTAATCGAAAACCACCTTGAGTAACATAAAATTTACAGTGATCTTAAATCAAGGCATGCTTCAATTAAGAAGTTGGATAGATAAAGATTCATTATTGAAAGAGAAAAAAAAAATCATCCAAAATGGCATTACTTTCGGAGCCACTGGTGTACGGTCCCTACCAGGTAGCTGAACACTGGGGCCACATATTCTGAGGTTAACAAAGCAAAGCTCTACGAACAGGTAATTCTCACTGCTTTTTTATTCAACTTGTTTTTCTACTAGGCTAGAAGCATTCATACATGAAAGATCTGTATCACTACTGTACATCAATGTACATAATGAATGTTATTCACCACATCAGACTAGTACACATAGGGTTTTTTATTGTTACACCTTAGGATATATAATAAACAGGGAAAAATTGCAATGTACCCCACCTGAGCTCCAACAGGACCTCTGAATTAATGGCCTCCCATGTTCCATATGTCCCTTCAGCTGCACTCATTCCTTACGTGAGATAACTCCTCAGGGATGATTTTTACATGACAAATGCTTATTCATTAGGAAAGAAATCCAGACTGCTGCATCACTTGACAATGACACAGTACATAGGCTATCACATTGACTGTATTCAGATAATGACGAGGGTGAAGAATGACTGGCTGCTGAAATCTCTTCTAGCACAGAGATGGCAACCAGCAGAAAGGTTATGACTGTTATGACTGCAGCTCTACTCAGAGCAGCATTAGAATCCAGGGTACTGGTGATACTATTGGTTTGTGCCAGGTAGTTAACTGCTGTTAATTAGTTGCAAAATCCTAAACCCACAGCTTTTCACACAACAGACATAAAATTAGGGATTGAAGAAGAAATGTGAAAATAGGAGACAAAATACCAAACCACTTCAGGCTGTTATCTTTTTGACTGGACGATTTGGCTGGATTTGCGTAGGAAATTTTCCTGAAAACACTACAGGAATTAGATATGAAATGTTCTCTTTCTTTCTCCCACACAACATTATTTTTTGATTTCTGATGAATTCCTGATCAGAACTTCTATTGAATTCTTCTTTCTACTTACTGTCACCTTGTAATCTTAAGAGACGACTATTGCCAAAAGCAGTAACTGCAGGTTCCTGACTTACAGAACTGGGATCTGACAGAGAAGGAGCAAGGCCACACAACGGGGAAGACTGGAGTCTTGCTTTCCTTTTTCAAACACAGCCCTTAGCTGAAAAAGGAGAGCTGTATCCTCAAACTAGGAGATGCCCCTGGGATCCCCTAGCTATGCACACAGGGGGCTGATAACACCCTGTTATTTATCTTTTGTAAATAAAGCCAGGATCTGCTATTTACCCTACGAATCAATCTTTAACCAGTTCAAAGTTAAAAGCAGTATCTTTAAGTGCCCAGTGGCAGTTCAGAAACAAAAGTAGTTGAGGAAAAGGAGGAATGAATGTGGGTAAACAATTTCAGAGCACACCTTAAAAACCCCACAAAGGCCACATCACCTGAAATTTTGAATAAACTTGCCTTCACAAAAATAAAAATACTGAAAATACTTCTGTAAGCCTTTCATCTGCATCACTATTTCCTACAAGATGTGTTCTTTTGTCACGTGTAAAAGAATTCGACAATGAAAAAAGAAAAATGTATTGCTCAAGTGTCACAGTAATCACACAAATTCAACACCACTGACCCCACATTAACAGGGAGAGAAAAATGCAGCCTGCTGAGAAAGTATACAAAATACAACAGCTATCCAAAGCTACCATGTAAATAACAACATCTTGTGCTGAAGTTCCTTTTATTCTCTTCTGTGGAATCTGATCATTTACTTCGGAATTTCCTTTTCATCGTTCTGAACGATGCTGTCATCCACAAACCCAAGAAAATAGCACTTATACTCTAAAAAAGACCATTTTGCATTTGCTTACAAACACAGTTATAAGTTGTCCACATATAAAATGAAGTCCATTTTAAGTATTTCAGAATACAGGAAAAAAAGCTGCATTGAAAACTCATTACCAGTTTGTAAATGATTTAATCTAAAATTTTGTACCCAGTTAGTCACAACCTGGCAACACTATCTGCAATTACTCACCAGCAGTCTTTGACAATGCAGTCACCTTCTGTTTAGAAGAATATTAGGTAATGGTTCTTTTATGTAGTCTCATACTACTACGAGAAAATGTGATACAATGGACTAGTTCTTTGAATTTGGTGTTCCAGGGGAAAACCTGAAGGTTATCACTTGAAACTACAACAATCTTTAAGTAAATGCCATATAGTAATTGCTTCAAAAACAAAAATTTCAATTAGGGTTTGTAGTTGGTGACAATTTTTTTGACTATAAAATAATTTTACAAAACACATAAAAGACATGCTCAGTTAAGAACTTTTACAAGAATTCAAATTTCAGATGAAGGAAAAATAAGAGGCAGGTACAAATATTATACAAAACAAATGCATGAAGTGACAGTCAGAATGTAAGCAAAGCACAAAAGTACAAGTACGCTTAGGTACACCAATGATCTCAGCGTAAAGAATACGTAAACCTCACAGCATTGCTAAGCGGACTGCATCATGAGCGTTAATCAAGATCACCATTTCAAACTCAGATGTGCAGAACATAGCAAGCCAGTCACTTGAGACCAATCTACTTCCAAGAAGTACAAAGTGTGTGCATAGAAGTTCAGGATTTGCCAATAGGCTTCACACAAAACGTACACTTGTTTTCCATTTTCCCCCTCTATACCTATTTTTAAAGAGATCTGTGATTAATGCTTCAAAACAGTTAACAAGTGTTGGCTCTACTATGCTCAGGATACCAGCTCAGGAAAGCATCTCACTATGCACGTTAACTTCCCTGCCTTACAAAGGAGGCTTATGCACAGGCTAAAAAGTAAGCACGTACAACACAGGCTCAACTAAGTAAAGCACTTTTCTTTCAGTTGCAAAGAAACTTCACTCAGGTATGCATTTATGACCTCAAATCTGGTTTCTAGGCAAGACCCCTTTGCAGTGAGAAGAAAACTGTTTGTAACTTGCTTTGCTAGTTGACAAAGATCCACTGAAATCACAGGATCATCACACTTCCAAATTAAAGAATTTGAATCAGAAGGAAACTCCCATGTAATACTTTACTAAAACCAAAACATTCTTTTCTGGAATATCATCTGCAACTCTGTTGAGGTAACCCCAGCCACACGATGATGTAACGCAGAGTGAGTAGACACTCAATGTCTCATATATAATTTATTCCTGCTTGAATAAAACCAAAACCCTCATCAGAGCTGCCATTTTTCAGCGATAAAACCTGCTTTCCAGAGCTTGTAAATGGCCTTAGGAGCCTTTTAAACATCAAAGTGTTTGTATAAAACCTTGAGCTCACTTCTGCTAAAGATCTTGATTTATATTAATTTACTCCTCATTTGTATCTGTCTGAAATGATAATCTGGTCCATGATGACACTTCAACATTATATCAATTCAGGAAACCAAATATTTACCTACTGTCAAACTTCAGCTTTTTAAATTTCTTTGTATTTGTCTAACAATGTTGGGGTTTGTATCTAAGAAAATGAATTGTCTAGCACAAAGGTTTCTTTATTTAGTCTCTCTGTGTGCTGTATACATGATAGAACACTAAAAACTCTTGCTTTCTCCCCTAGGCTCCACATTAGTGCCTGCAATGACCTATTCCCGAGTTCAGACAGCTCTTCAGGCTTTCATTCTTCTTTATAGAAAACACACCTCTCTAACAAACACAGGTTCGACATTGCTGATTCTTTCCTAAGTCATACAGATGTGACTGTTAAATGCCTTAGTGAATTTTTTAATAGGTAACAATCACAGACTTAGGAAACAACAAACCAGATCACTTTTTCAGTCTTTCCAGTAAGATTTTTAGTGATCAAAACTGTTTTCCACACTAGATGTCACAGCTGTAGGAAAAGAATTTTCATTACCAATCACATTCAGTGCATTAATTCTGACATCTGCATTGAGTACAGGTCTGCTCCTTGCAGAGACAGACCTCGAGCTCTTCTCACACAAGTTTGAGTGGCAGAGGTAGAAAACGCTTTATTACAGCACAGAACCAAAAAAGGCAGAGGAAAAGCTAAGCCCCAGACTTTGATGAGATGAGGATTCAGATTTGGGTGCGGGGCTGGGTTTTGGGGTGTTTATTTTCAGCAGTATTTCTTCTCTAGTTTCTCTTTAGTAGTTGTTCCTCATCTTGCCTATATTTCTGCAAATTAGTCAGTACAGCTTTGACAAGAAAGTGGCAAGAGATGAATGCTACAGCACCCAGTGCCTGTGCCAGCGCACTGCAAGGAGAGACCACCACTCTCCTGTTCCCTACGGCTACCCCAGCACAGTTAGAAATTGTCTTTGCCCGCTCTGTCATCACAATACACTACATACTCACGCCTCGTTTTCTTTCTGTTCTCCCAGTCTTTTTCACTCTCAATTTCTCCCTTCTTTATGTGTTTCACCTTGAAGTTACTTTCATCTGTTTGTTATCAGGAATTTTTCCCTAAAGCTACATTTCAGTTTACTTCCCGCTCTCTCCAGAGACTTGCTGTGATTTACCTTTCATTAACGGTAACAGCAAAACCTTGTTCTACACATCATCTGCAAAGAAGCTGCCTGTCGGTTTTGACCTTTTTTCATCCATGAATGGGAGCATTATATACATTTAACAGTGCTCATATACGAATATCAGTGAAGAGTACAAACGCCAGTGGCACAGCAAATTCCCTTCTCCGCAGAACTCCCTGAACACTGCTCCTGTGTGACTGCTCCAACGTGTACTTTGTCTCAAGTGAATCTCCTCAAAGCAGCGATGTTCTCCTTTCAATCTATTTGTGAAACCTCACTAAACACTAACCTTACACACCAGCAGAACTGCAATAAATG